ACTGAAATGGCCATTTCTGGCTTATTAGCCGTCGTCAGCCAGTCATACTCAGTCCGAAGTGGTGTGCCACCCGAGGCTTGAACTCGCGACCTTTTTGATCAGAATCAACCGCCCCAATCATTGAGTCACAAACTCGTTGTCTAGCCGGTTTAGGTCAGGATGAGGGGATATTGACACTCGTTGGTATCACTTTCACCACTCAGCTTACGGCAAACACTCGTCCTGTTGTGCCCTGGGCATCAATCTAGAGTCCTGTGGCAGTCACATACTGACAAGCAGTATAAGCAGAGTGAGATTTTGAAGCCATTTATGACTTGGTGGCCTTCATCAGCCGGTCATAGTTAGGCAGGACATGGAATTCGAACTTGAAATCTTTCTTAAAACATAAACTAACAGCGTCGTTAATACTTTAATCCAGTTGTAGAACAGGCGAAACATTTTCCCAGGATACAAGTAATTTGTAAACTAAAACGGAGACCGCATATGTGTGTGTCAGTATGTGCTGCTAGTAGTTTCAAAAAAAGAGAGCAATTCTGCAAAATTCCCATCTGAAAATATTATTATTTTCTTGCGCCGCTAGTCTTAAAGTTGATTGGAGCAAGGAAACTTCTAACACACCCAATTTCTTGTTTGTCCCGATAATATGCTTTTTGAAAATGAATAACTAGAATACTGGAACCAAGATCTCGAGTCTGTTTACTTTTGGCCCAACTACCTCGTAATTGTCGTTACCTGCATTACTAGTTACTACTTTCTGTTTGTTAGAAATGGCTGTGTTGAAAGACATGTGGACTCCACCAGGCACACCAGCAAAGGAAACGAAGAAACTCGAACTCATCCAAAAGACCACCGCTTTACTGAAACATGCCCTGAAATGTGAGTTTAGGCTTCATTGCCATTCTGGTATTTTTTAGTCTTCCGAATGAATGAGGAGGTTCATCCATTTTAGTCTTCGCTAAAGTGGAGGGTTTGCATTAACTTCCTTCCAGCCGAGATTCGCTAGATATTTTGCGCCTTGTAAGGAGAGGAAATCCGTTCGCTTGCTTTTCGCTCCAGGTTTTATGCGA